TTCCGAGTGAGGTCGCAGAGTTCACCACTACCGTCTGGGTCGTTATTGTGACCTACTTGAGTCTCTTGTCTGAGGGCTGAACCCCGTATAAGGGACTGTGGATGGAGGAAATCTTGCACCACCTACATAATAGGCATCTGTTATGAAGCGACGATGCCTCCCCGCACCCCCTTCTTAACATTGACAGCTGTTCTGTCTGAGGCGGTGCAAGATTTCCGTCATTGGAACAAATCTGTTTCTGGAGGCCTTTCAATGCCAATGTTAAAAAGGGGGTACGGGGCTGTGAGAAATTCACGTTATAAAAGCGGTGCAAGATTTCCTCCATCCACAGTATCCTATCTACTTAAGGGGGAGTAGAATTCCAAGTCTTACCCATTCTTGGTTGGCTGGGGGGTGATACGCCGATCTGTTCTGCCAGTGACTAGTTTGGGGATCTTCCCCTGTAACTCTCAATCCTCGATCCTAGCCCCTCAAGCCTAAACACCACGCCTTACTTGGAGGGTCAGGGGGGCTTAATACGTAGGTTAATAAAAAGGATAACTAGGGTTGCTGTATGGATTATAGGGGTATAAGTGTACTTACTAAGTCCCCCTGACTCTCCAAGTAAGCCCTCAACCTAGCGTTCCTTAGCCCCTGACTCGGAATCCTCAACGCCAAACTCTTTCCTGAATAGCGCGGAGCAAGAACCCTAAACCCGAAGCCTTCAATCCAAAGCTTCAAACCCTGAACACGTACCTCTGGTTTGCACAAAGTGAAGGCATGGAAAAGAAAATGGAAACTACCGTATTCATGGGGATTATGTAAAGACTGCTATACGGGATCATTCCTTCAGTCCACACCAACCAGAGGTCAGAATATCGAGGATCAACTTAGGGTTCAGGTTTTAGGGCTTTTGGGCTCATGGACAAGCAAATGCTGTAGTGCAAACAAAGAATCTGAAAGGTCCTCTTCCTGCCTTACAAAGGCTAATCCCTACACATGATGCCGCCCATTTTCCTTTTCCTCATTCACAACCGAAACCCAAATCCCCAAATCCCTTTCAAGACCCTAAGATTCCTTAAACCTTCGAATTCTAAATCCTAAACCCTAAACACCTAAACCCCTAAACCCTAAACCCCAAACCTCAGACATCCAAACACTCAACCCTGAGCTCTGCCTGCTCTTCGAACGCATCACGAGATGAGGAGACCAGTCCCACCTGGGTTGCTCTTGAGGAGCTCAAATTAAGTTACCATAATGGGTATACCTAAACCCTAATTTAGGGTTTAGGGTTTTAAGGAACTTGAATTAAGTTACCATGATGGGTATATATTCGGTGGACCCCCCACCCTGTAATAGTAGTATAAGAAGAATATAAGAGGACTCTATATAATGCCTATTATCCATATATAGTCACTATTGCTGGGTGGGGGGTCCACCTAAGGTAATATATATATATATAGTAATTAATAGCGTTTGCCCAACATGGCAACTTCAATTAAGTTCCTTGAACCCTGATATTCCCACCCGGTTTCCATTCCATTTTCCATGTTCTTTTCCATTTGATTTTTCATTATAAGGGGGTAATACCCCTAAATCCAAAGCCCTTAACCCTAAGTTAAGTTCCTTAACAGCAGCCCAGCCACGTAGCGCACGGATCGTTTCGATTTCGGCCTCCACGGCCATTGAGGATCTCTAGGAATCAGACTTTTCTGCTGCGCGGGTTTGGAGATTGACGTTTGGGCTCTTGAAGAAGGCCGAATCCTCAACCCTGAGCCCTAAAACCTAAACCCAAAACTGAAACACTGAGCCCCGAAGCCCTAAACCTGAATCCTGGAAGCCCAAAACATTAAACACTATGTCCTCAATCCGAAAGCCTAGGCACAAATTCCAAGCCTTAAGGTCTACCCCGAGAACCTAGACAACAACAACCCTGAAATCTTGCCAATGCCAGGGCATAGAATGGGTTGCTGTTGAGGACCTTAAACTGAATTGCCATGATGTGGGTGGATAGTAAATAAATTTGGGTTTAGGGTTTCCTTATCATAGTAACTTGAATTAAATTCTTTACCACCAATACAGTAGAGATTATACTCCGCGCTCGGCAGCCTGCAGCGATGCGCTGACGAGCTTCTCTCGCGCTAAGGCTCCTTTCAGAAGAAAGTCTCAAGATTAGCGTTTAGGGCTTCAGGCTTAGGAGACTAAGTTGCAGCACCGACGCCGTTTAAAAGAAAAAAGGGGGACAACAGGATTCTACGGACCTTCGCAAGGATTCTGTCGGGATTGTTTTCGGAAACTCTGGTTTGGGAAGTAGAGCTTACTGTAACGTGCGTGGAAGTTAGGAGTTTTGAGGGTAGGAGGCAGGGAACCCTAAATCCTAAACCCTAGACCCCAAAACCCTAAATCCTAAACCCTGAACCCTAAAACCCCAAACCCTAAACCCTAAACCCCAAAACCCTAAACCCTTAATCCTAAACCCTAAAACCTAAACCCCAAAACCCTAAACCCTAAATCCTAGAGGGATTGTGGTCACCGGGTTGAAAGGTTCGAGGGCTCGGGGCTGAATATTTCGCTGCTGCCG